CAAAATAGAAGAAAAAAAACCTATATTAATCTCATAAACTACCTACCATATAAGGCAGAACCTGAAATAAAATATTACTATGAATGGTTGAAATCTATGATGCATTGTTTCCTTTAATTTTTGATAAATAACTCTTCATGATTTTTTTCCCTTCCAAAAGAGAACAATTCCTTTCCTGTTTTAGGATACCAATTTCTTAGAACCCTAATAGAGTTATTTTATGGTATTTTCATAGTCATTCATTAAGCAATATGTTAAATGCCATGCTAATATATTCAACCTCTGTACTCCAGCAACATCTTGGGTTTACAGGAATAAGATATGAGGTATACCAGAAATACTGCTTTTTGAGGTCTCAGTTTTCAATATTTTGGGCATAAGGAATTATAAGATAAATACTTCCTCATTTGAGAAGGAAGAACAAAAGAAAATAGGCAAGAATAAAAAAAGTAAACAAGATGAAGAATGGAGGAGAAACAGTCAAGTGAGAAGTGATGAGGATGGTAAAGGAAAGGAGAAAAAAATGGAATTAGAAAAAAAAAAACCTTAAAAAATAAAGACAACAATTTAGTAAATTTAAAAAGACAGAGAGAGAGAGAAAGAAAGGGAACATCTGGTGTTAGTCAATATCATGATATTGATTCCATTCAATAAGCCACTACTTCCTGCTGAAGTTCAGGGACTGGGCGGTAGGGTGAGAGGGAGGGGTGGGGAGAGCTGGGCTTTAATGGGTCACCACATTCTGTATCCATTCTGATGATGCTGGTTTCCCTTGTAAACAATATTCTCCTGTTCTGGGGTTAAAGGAACAAGAGGGTGAGGACAAAATCAAGAAGGAGAGACTAGAGGTGAGAATAAGAGAGAATAAGGAAGACACCTTTCAGAATTATATAAATGAATTTAGAATGACATCTCCAGATGACTCAGTAGTCCTTTAATATGTTCCCTTTCCGTAGCCCCCACTGCCACCACCTGTAAGTCTTGTTGAGCAATGTTTACCATTTGGTGGGTAATAAAAAACACTAGCTTATAGTACTCATCTTCCATTTCTCACTAATCAATGTCCTACATCCCAACTATTTGCTGTAATCTATCTTTTTGACTCTCCCAACCTAGTTATTTTCCACTCCAGTAGCCTTTATAGAAACATATAATAAACCATTTCATGCCAGAATGTAGTCACCAGGTTCCAGAAGACCTTTCAGAATAATTGTGAATATGTTTTAATATTTACACAAAATGAAAGGAAATTTTCCAAATGCTGCATTCAACCACCACATACCCCACCCCTTTTAACTGATATTCCTAAGAAATAAATATCTGTTTTTAGTATGGATAGAATCTTTAAAACACTTACACACCAAAAACAGTATTAACAAAATTTAACAGATTCATTAGGAATATGCCTCAATAGATTTAATAACTATAAGTAGTCTCATCAGCTAAAAAAACGTGTTAAAAGTGCATCGTGAGGGAAGAGTTGCTGGTTCAAACTATGCCGAGGTATCTCCCAGAGAGAGGGATGTAGTGGCAGATGAAGTGGAAAAAATCTTGGGAGATTCCAGCAGCTTTGAGGAGTTGGATCTTCACTGGCGGGGAAGACATGCAATGGGACTCAGTCTGCTTTGCTTGGATGTTCATGATTTTTTCTTCTTCCTACCTGGCAGCCACAGTTTCTCAGCCACAGAAGTATGTTGATTTGAAAAGCTTAAAAGCCATTTATAATAAAGAATATAGCAATATGAAAAAGGACATAAAACTTCCAGTTTCATTTCAAATAAGAAAATATACTTTTTAAAAAGAGAGCAAACTAGAAAATACATACATCTAATTGGACATCTTGAAGATATACCATACTAGCAATTTCAAAAAAATAGTATTTGAATTCATCTGTGAATCATTCAACTTTCTCAGACCCTTAGGGAAAAATTTCAAGATGCTTTTCTATGTATTTTAAAATAAGAAAAGTTGTCAGATTTTATATTGTATATTACTACCTTTAGCAGTAGGAAATTTTAGAATTACAGAAAAATACTAACTGGGCTAATAACAATCAAAACATAAGATTGAACATTACTCTTCATTATTGAATCTAAATTGGTATAGAACAATATTGGCAATTATCTTGCTATTCTGGTCAATTAATTACTGGATTAAAAAATAATATTAAATAAGTATTTCAAATGTATTAGGCCACTCCTTAATGTAATTATTATATCATAACCAACCCCTAATGTCTCTGGTAATTAATGGAGGGACAGAAGGGGCAATTGTAGACTACAAATAATTTATACTTGTTTCAACTCATTTATCTACCTACCAAACCTTTTATAGTAACAAAACCCAGATAATTTCCATTTCATCACCTCTGTATATTGTCTAGTAAGAAGTTAAAAGCACTGTACAGACCACAAAGGAGGCAACAGCAAGAAATAGAGAGCAGACTAGGCTGCATTTAATAAAATGAGCCATTCTTACACAAATAGGCCTCTCATTTTAACACAAAGAAGACAATCTGGTAATTGATTACATTATTAAGGAAGGCTACTTTTAGGGAATTCAACATATTCTCCTGTCAGAGAATGTCTCTGTTATCATCCAAAATCAATTTGTAGGTTCTAGTAGCATTCTGCCAAGACACCAGACTCCAATTGGCCCAAGAGTTGTTGTAGGTAAAAGGGAGGAAGGTAGGTTGGAAAGTTAATTTTTATTGAGCTCTTAATGTGTGCCTGGCATTGTGATAGGTGTTTTACATATATATCTGAAGGAAAGGAGTGAGGAAGTAGCAATAAAGTTAAATTTCTAACCCATTTCTAATTTCACTCCAGCTGATTCACTGCCCTAGTTATGTAAATTCTCACTTCCTTTCCTCTTCTCTTACCCTTGGCCCCCCTCCCCCTTAATCTCTCACTGAATCCTGAGTTTTACTTACATGATCATTAGAATTCTTCTCCTTTTGCTTGATAATTGTATAATTTGAGTTTGGGGAGGTAGTATAATAAAACTGAAGGCCTTGGAGTCAGAGAGCTTTGAGTTGCAGGCGAGTTAATCATTCTGAGTCTCAATTTCCACATACACCTTTTTTGTCTAATTATTTTAAGTAGTAAATGACATAAAATATGTAAAGTACTTAACATGATGCTTGGCACACTGTAAGAACTCAGTAAACGTTGGCTATGGTTATTATTATTATAAAAAGGTAAACTGATGCTTAGTTACTATGATTCACTTAAAGCCAAAAGTCAATTTCAGAGCAAAAACTGGAAGCAAGTTCCCCCAACCATCATTCTGTGTCACTCTCAATATTTTAGAATATTCCTGTGATGCAAAGATGTATTTACACATTCTCACAGTATTTATGTATCATCAATCTATATAAATTTTATTAGTTCACTTGTAGTCCCTTAAAGACTTTCATATTCATTTGGTCAACATCAAAATCTTTGCCCCACAAAGAGTATCCTTTAAACAATTTTATTTTTCATTAGGGACTAATTCCACCCACTTAGAATTGACCAACTGGAAATTGGTCCAACTATCGAACAGATGTCATATTTGTTCAGGTCACATTGCAAAAATGGAGGCAGCATGAACATTACAAGAGGGAGAAGCTGCCTGTCTACTGAAGCAGCTGCTTTATCCCACTGCCCAAATCCTCATCGTAGGGGACAAGAAACTTAAGTTAGGACAAACACTTTGTATAGTTTCTAGTAATGACAACTTTCTCATTATCAAAACTGTCATAGTGTGGAAAGGCTTTGCTGATGACCAGAATTCTGCATTAATTATTATTAACCTAACACCTATATGTTTAATTTTTTAAACTTTCATTAATTTTTATTCACTTAGTTAATGAACTCATTGAAGAAACAGTGTAATTTTAATTATCAGTGTTCAGGAGCCTCTCCACAATATCATAAAGTTGTCAGTTTACTCAAATCCAAAAATGAAATGTCTTCTGCCTTCACACCAGAATCAGTGAGAAAGACTGGAGTTTTTCACACCAGTCTTCTTATCCCCAAAATATAGACTTTCCTTTTAATAGTTTCTTCTATGACTAGAACAGGCAAAAACAAATTTAGTTAAAAGGTACAATAGGAAATAATTATTCACTCTGAAGGATTAGTGAGCTATAAGTAGAATATTTACCAGAAAAAAACCCCACATTTTTTGCAAATGAAGTTTATTATATTAATAATCCGATTATTTTAACTTCATTTGTTTTAGAGAATATACTTTATTTTGGCAGATATAGAAGAAGAAAGTAAATCAACTGAGACAGAAAACAGCCCAAAGTGAAAATTATATGATGTTCATTTTCTAAAACTAACATTAAAGAAAACAGCCCTTGGAAGTCTATCCTAGACACAAAAATGCCACTGTCAAGATCTTAGCCTAGAAAGGGATTCATGAGGTTCACAGAGCAAGAAAATTTTATGAACTTATTTAGTTACATGAAACAGTTTTAAAACAAAAACTGTAGTCTTCTTTTGGGAAATGAAGAGCCAATTTGGCTATTAATTTTTAAATTTGTTTAAAAAATCAACATTTAAAATAAACCAATCTACTAGACACTTCAGTGAACAAATCAATGTTAAAGTAGATGAATGAACGTATGCCCTTACAAAACATACCTACTAGGAAATTCCATATCCAGAAAAGGTTGAATTTGTGTGCATCATCACTTTAATTTTTAGCCCAAAGTTATTATCTCAGGTCATGGGGTATATGACATTATCCTGCACCTGTCTATATAGAAATGCATATCTAACCTCAGCCAACACCAGTATTTCCAAGCCTGGTATTAAAACTATGGTTTTTTAAAAACTATGCCTTATCTTCTGTCAAATAATTAAGAATATTGATTCAGCTATCTGAAAAAAGGCTATTCAATCATTTTGTACACAAACAGGTGTTTTTATTTCATTGATATCCTTTTAAAGCTTTAGCAGATCTTTATATTATTTCCTCCCACTGACTCATAAGGTAATTATACATACCACAGTCTGATGATTAACTTGAATCACTTCATCGCCAGCATGGATTTTCTTGCACCGATCTGCAGGTGACTAAATTTAACATAATGGAAATGATAAAGAACATAAATTTTATCACTCATTTCTTTTCCCTGAAAATACTACAATAAGTTCACCTCTTTAGATCAAGAAATTATTTAATCTTGAAAAAATTAAACAAAAATGACTACTAGTATTTAATATACTGTTTGCGCTCTACAGATAACTAATAATAGAAAGTAGGATTTACTTTAAAAACTGATTTCCAGTTTATTTTTTATTCATTTCCAATTTCCAATTATTTCAAAACAAAGAAGTCTTGAAACAATATTAACCTCTATTCAACAAATTTTGAAATTCACAAAAGAATGATCTATCAGAGGTCAGAATTCAAGGTAAGATAATATCCCAGAGAATTCCAGTTACTCAAATAATAACGCAAGTATACTCTTAAGAGGGTAGTTCATCTAGGATATGAACTCAACCCTCAGAATGGTATCATAACAAGAAAACAATGTATTTTTCTTCACAGCACCTTTAGGAGGTAGGCATATTATCAAATCAGACAAGTACCATGCAACAATTCTGAAAAGTGTGTAAATCATTACTATAATAGGGCTGTAACTATACTCAGTCCCTGTGCTATCTGGCTTACAATTGATCTTTTTAAAGGAGAGTATAGAAGAAAAATATCAAGCCAATGGTTCTAATCATGGTATAAAAGAAAATGATAGTTGGTATATAAAATTGAAAGAAACTGAAACAACTTCTTTCCCAGATAAGTAAAAAAGGGAATAAGTCATATAAATTATAGACTTTCAGTGTTAAATGGGACCGTAGAGATCATTTTGTCTAAACTTCTCATTTTACCTAAAAGAAAACTAAGAAACTAGGGCAGAGCAAAGCAAAATAACTTAACCACTTTAGTGAGCAGATTTACTAAGACTCAACAGAGATCTACTAATGATAAATGACTGAGGGTACCAAAAATGGTAAAACATTTTCAAGAATAAAGAATTAAATGATAAGCCATTAATATATGGTTCATATCTAAACTATTCATAGAATCAATCTTTCTTTGATCACTCATCCATTTATCAAATATTACTGAGTAATTAATATGAACAGTACATAGTACTCCACTTTTTTAATAGACCCCAGGCAATACAGAGATGCATTCCTATAAATTCTTCAAGATATAGTTCAAAATCATTTCTGTGATTATTTCTCTAGTTTCATTGGCAGCATTTATGATTCTTTCCTTTGTCTGTCTACATAAATTTCAGTACCTGTTTACACACATAAACCCCTAGTTGCATTCCTTAGGAACAGCAAACTAGTTTAGTTTAAAAATTCCTTCAATACCTAGCCCCATGCCTGGAACATAGCAGACATGAAACAAAAGTTTGTTACAAGAACAAGTGAATAAATGAATGATTGGAGGAATGTACAAACAAATGAGAATGATGAATCAGTGATAGGAGTATCATTACAGTATTTCACTGCTTTAAAAATTTTAATTGGTTGACAACATACATATTACTGATATTTCTGACCCCGTATTTAATACCAAATGTAAAGTCAGTATAGCAATCCAACTGCAATGTATATTATGTATTTCACTATTCTCAAGAAACCAAGAGAAGTTAGTGGGAAAAAAGCAATAAATGATTAAAGTAGTAAGTGAATTACGTTAATTTTTTTTAAAAGAAAATGCTGGTAAAATATTGAGATCTATGACTACTTGACATTAACTAACTCCACCCCAGTCTTCTTTGAAGGAACACAGCATAAACATGTAATTTGTCAGAATTTCTAAAAGAAAAAAAAAATTCAAAGCTCAGCACCTGCTTACGAGTAAGATGGAAGTCTGGGACAACCAAATGGAGGAATAATGATTTATTACCCTATTCAAATCTATTTTAGTGATCATGTTCAGGCTCAACACAATCACCTCACATTTCTGTAGCTCTTTATTGCATAGCCTTTCACATTTATTAGCTTATTTTCAGATCAACCTAGTGAGGTATGTAGTGCAGATAATATTTCCAGTTTACAGTTGAGGAAACTAAAGCAATGGCAGGGTAAGTGACTTGCCAAAAATTACACTGCCATTAAGATGCAGAACTAATTGTAGGTCCTAGGCCTAGGGATTCTGACCCACTGCTTGCAGTGGTTCTCAAACTTCAGCATGTCTTAGAATTACCTGTTAAAACAAAATCTCTTGGGGCACCTGGGTGGCTCAGTTGGTTGGGCACCTGCCTTTGGCTCAGGTCATGGTCCCAGCATCCTGGGTTTGAACCCCACATCGGGCTCCCTGCTCAGTGGGGAGCCTGCTTCTCTCTCTCCCTCTGCTGCTCCCTCTGCTTGTGCTCTCTCTTGTGTACATGCTTTCTCTCTCAAATAAATAAATAAAATCTTTAAAAAAACCCCCCCAAAATAAAAAACAAAATCTCTTATTAAGAAACAGGCTGGTCTCCAGAATTTCGGATTCAGTAGTTCTGGCGGGGGGGGGGTGGCAAGAATATGTATCTCTAACAAGTTGCCAAGGGAGGCTGATGCTGCTGATCCAGGGAGGGACCTCACTGTGAAAACCAGTGAGTTATACCATGCTGTCACCTCACTGAATTAAGCTGAATTATAATGCATATTCAGAAAGCGTGAATTATCTGATGTTTCTTTCTTACATAAGTTTCTTAATATAACTAAACTATTTGATAGACGGAAGTTGATTCTTTTAGATGTCACAGTAACTTGTCATGAACCAGAAAATACTTAACAAAGACAAATCTCTGGCTGTGAACAGAAAACATCTGATTTACTCTAAGTAAATAGTTACTCTAAACTAAATAAAATGATTGAAATTCTTCCCAAACCAGCACTTACTAACTCAATGTGTCCTTTTAGTTTTTTCCTCTTAATCTATTCATGTCCTCAGAAGTCAACCTCAATTACGTTGAGATATAGAAGTTGTTTAACAATAAAAAGAAAAACACACCCTATAATCTGAAATGTTATAATACTTACATTTTCTGTAGTTCCAGTAATTACATGGAGGCCATCATATGTTGATTTAATATACATACCCTAGAAAAAGACAGCATCAAAAAAAAAAAAAAGTGAAGCGACTGGAATGTTTTCAAGTATATTACACAATCATTTACAAAAAAATTATCCTATCAAAATTGCCACATGCTCGGGCGCCTGGGTAGCTCAGTTGGTTAAGCGACTGCCTTCGGCTCAGGTCATGATCCTGGAGTCCCTGGATCGAGTCCCGCATCGGGCTCCCTGCTCGGCAGGGAGTCTGCTTCTCCCTCTCCCACTCCCCGTTTGTGTTCCCTCTCTCGCTGTGTCTTTCTCTGTCAAATAAATAAAATCTTTAAAAAAAAAAATTGCCACATGCTCCATGAATCCATATTCAATAATGCCACGTTTAAACTAGTAAAAAATTCCTATCTGAATGTTCTGGTTTCTAAAGTTTGCCCGAAGAAGCCTATCCTCAACTTAATCAAATAACTACTTGGTAAGAAAATTGCCTGTGAAACTTATAAAATGTAGCATGGTAATTCAATATTCTGAAGAAAGAACGCACCTTACTCCCCCAACAGTCTTTACTATTTGTTCTGTGGCAAAATAAAAGTAATAATGGGAAATTCAAATATTGGTTATTAGCATATTATACTTGATACATATTACACAACAAAAAGTAGGTTTCTACAGAGCCACTTCAACTACAACCAACTAGAGACAGAAGAGTGATAAAATATTGCTAATGTAAACTTTTTTCTCCATCTCTTTTGTGAAATCCTGTATTTCCTGCCTTTATTTTCATTGATGAAGTTTTAATAATTATATCCAACACTTCTATATCAATAATTAAGAGGTAATGTGTGGCAAGCCCTCCTCCTAATAAAAAGGGTGAGATTCCATTTCCCATTTAAATAAAGCCATTTTAGAAAATGCTTTATTACACTTTAAAGATTATCTAGAAATCCTGAAATTATGTCAGCTTTATAAGCAAACAAAAACTTTAAATTATGGACAGTGGGAGAACTTGAAAGGGAAAAAAATCACAAGAAAATCTTCACATTGTAAATGTTAAAATATTTTCATTTAAGTAAAAAAAAAGATGGGAAAAAAGAGATTTTTCTTCCTCTCTAAGGAAGATTGTTACTTTTCTCTTTGGGAAAAAATTACCCAAGTTTTACTTACACAAGTGCCTTGCATTTCAAAATATTGATTAAAAAATAAAAAAATATGAATTTTAATGAACTCGAAGTCTACAATATAATGGACTTAACAATAACCAACAATATTATTTCAGAAAAGCATTAATTTTAGCACTTATATAGACAATTACTATAACGTTAATTTCCCATACCTTTAGGTTAATTATATATTTAGATAAGTGAATGTATGTGTATTTCATTGGAAATAAGTAAGAAATAAAAACAAGAAGCAGTAAAGTTCATAGGATGGTACTATTAAAAAGCTGGGTAGGCGTGAATTCTGAAGTCATTTCAGTAATGTCTCATGTCTAAAATGTTGGTGCCTGTTCCAAAAATGGATAAGCCTGGATCACTAACGTGAAAGAAAATGAATGTGATTTAAAAGGTGTTCATTTACCTGTGAACTCTAGTATTTTAAATGCAACGTCATTATTTCATATAAAATAAATAACCTCAACAGAAGTACATATAGAAATTAATTAAGAAATTGGCTAGCTGTTGTTGCCTATGACCATGTGGTAATATTCAAGTTCACACTGATGCCAAGTGTACAGCATACTTACTTTTTACGTTCATACTTATCCCATTATTTATGGGAGAGTAAATATAATGATGCTATTATAGAACTTAGAAGAGGACAAGATCTTTGTCATCATTTTCCTCCAGGAATTAACAAAATTACAACAGATTAATAAAGAATCTTAAAGTATATTTGTAAGAGCTAAACACTAAATTTTGTCTCAGTTTTTTTACACAGAAGGACTGTGAGAGAATAAAGTGGGAAAAGACAGGGAAAGAAACAGTATATATTACTTGGAAATACAAAACAACCATCACTTATCATTCTCTATCACCATCATCACGGAAAGCTACTGGTTACAATGTACCAGGGACTGTTCTACTTCACAATAGCCAATGCGGTATAAACTATCATTACTCCTGTTTTTTCTTTTTTACATTTTAAAAAATATTTTTTAAATTTATTTGAGAGAGAGAGTGAGAGCACGAGAGGGGTGAGGGTCAGAGGGAGAAGCAGACTCCCCGCTGAGTGGGGAGCCTGATGCAGGACTGGATCCTGAGACTCCGGGATCATGACCTGAGCCGAAGGCAGTCGCTTAACCAACTGACCAACCCAGAGGCCCCTCACTACTTCTGTTTTAGAGATAAAGAAACTGAGGCACAGAGAAGCTGGGGAGTCTGCCCAAGGTGGTGAGGCCAGGTTTCAAGCCTAAGCAGTCTGACCCCAGACCACACTTTCAACCTCTAGGCTCCTGACTTATCGATTTATTAATAGGACAGTTGTGCACCTTCACTTTTCTTATTATAACATAATATTTGGCAACTGTAGGTATTAAAGTCAACTATTCACTGTTTAACATCTATGCTAAAAGACTGAGACCTCTTTAGCACACATGTACTATGTGCAATGTGGTTATAAAGAGTAACTGGGTCTCCTATTTTACAAATTTATTTTATTGCCCCATCTCCTCTGAAAATGGTAGGCAGAAGTTGATTATGTTTCTCTCTACATTTCTTTCAACACTGCGTATTACTGATTATGAATTCAGGTATTTGACAAGAGCTCTAAATAGTCTCATTAATGATTGGGTCATAGAGAAAGTTTAATATCCTAAAATAAATGTTTAGAAAAGGCAATATAGTCATAGAGATAATAAAAACTCATGGACATAATCTAGTTGTGTCTCTGGAAATAAAATTTGTGTGCAATTATTACACACACCAGGAACCTCAAAAGTGGCAACTGTAAGCTAAAGCAGGTATCTGTTATTTAAAGGAAGAAAATCTCATCATTATTTACATATAATTAAATGCTATATGACTTATATTAAAGTTAACTTTTTCAGAAGGATAAAAATATTTTTAAAATGCTTAAAGGAGGATCTAACTATGTATACAGAATTCAATTCTAGCAACCTCACAGAAGCAATTTTAAAACTGCCACAAAGAACGAAGATATTGTTTCATTCAATATTTTCATTTTTAACCTTAATAAGCCACTTGTTGTAAATGCTTTTAATAATCAAAACTGACTTCATTCTTTTTATTTCCCTCTGGTAGTATTAATGAGAAAAATGGCCAAAAAAGTCAGGTACCCAAAGAAAGTAAAAGAAGCAAGTTGCTTGGATGAGGTTTCAAATTAATCATCTTCCAAATAATGAAGAGTCCACAGAACTACAGCTGATCACTTGTTCATCTCTGAGAAAGGGTCAAACAGTAGTACATGTAATTCAAATGGCTCTTTTTCTGGAACTGAGACAAATCTGGTCTTCCATTTCATCAAAACCTTTATTCTTCCTTCTTTCTTCTTCTTTTTTCTTTAAACAGTTAATTAATTCTGGAGCTGACTTGAACAGCTCCCTCTTTCCTGCTTAGCTTGCCAAAATGACATTTGCTTCACTCGATCTCCAAATGTCAGTTAGCCAATGGGAGCCAAGCAACCTCACAGTCAAGTCAATAGAATAAGGCATATTTGAGGATAATCCAAGTGTCTAGTAGCAAAAGAGCTCTCTGAAGCCAAGAGGCTTCCCCAAGGATGTCCCCCCAAGCCCCTTCCTCTCTATTGAACTCATCTCTTAGTTCTGATCTAGTTTTGATATGTTCCAATAGCTCTTATTCTCCCTCCTTTAATTTTCTGCTAATCATTGTTGTTTAAAAGCATTTTAGAAGCTAGTTGCATATTTTAATCATAACAAGTACATTTCCCATCATTCGTTATAATGCTTAGAACTCTCAAAACTAAGAAATCCTAGGGGATTTTACTAATTAGGTAGAAAGCTGATGAACAATCTATTCAGTTTATCAGTGGAAGAACCAAGCAATTACCTTTTGCCTATGAAAGATGTTGTTTTGAAACTCGCAGAAGACCTTCTGCAGATGTTTTAAGCTAATTAAACTTCCTTAAAGCTTGGTATTCTCCCACCTTTATTTCTTTCCTTCATTTACCATTTAGACATTTCCTATGGCTAAGCACATGCTAAATGTTACCAAAATCCTCAGATCTATTTATTTCAAATGTGACTGACTAAACTTGCTTAATGTATCTGATTTTTAAAATGATTCCTTGAATAAATCATAAAAATTTCTATTTAGGCATCTCTTTAACATGAATCACAAGAAATAGTTTTTATTTCACTTTTTTAAAGATTTTATTTATTTATTTGACAGAGAGAGACACAGCGAGAGAGGGAACACAAGCAGGGGGAGTGGGAGAGGGAGAAGCAGGCTTCCCGCAGAGCAGGGAGCCCGATGCGGGGCTCGATCCCAGGACCCTGGGATCATGACCTGAGCCGAAGGCAGACGCTTGACGACTGAGCCACCCAGGTGCCCCCCCTTTGGCAATTCCAACTTTAAATGTGGGATAATGGAACAAGCTTTGTTAAGATGTACTTTATGGAGATATACCTGGACTTAACCCTGCCTCTATTGTATATTACCTATGTGACACAGGGCAAATTGGTGAAGATCTGTGACTCCATTTTCTCATTTGCAAAATAAGAAAGTACCTACTCTAAAGAGTTGTGAGAAAATACTTGACAAATGGTAAGCACTCAGGTATTTTCTTTTCCAGCTCTTTCTCAGACTAACTGAATCTGGTTGTTAGCATTTTAAGATCACGACTGTTTCAAAGGCTGGACCCAGATCTACCTCTTCCAAATTCAAAAAATAAAAGACATGTCCAAGGCTATACCTTTCATTAAAAACAAGTCAAGATTTCATAATGTCAATTAGCACTGTACTGACTCACTTCATATGGTTACTATTTCCCATGATTTCAGTGGAAATTAGTGGGGGGAAAATCAGGCTCTTTTCTCCAAATCCTGTCCTTAGCACCACAGACTCATAGAGCGAGAGGAAGCCTCAAGGTTGATCTAGTCCACCCTCCCTTCCCGACCGCAACATTCTACACATGAAAATAGCAAGGCCAAGGAGGTTAAATTTACTCCTCCACCTCCTCAAGATCACACTCACAGCTATATTTTATGTAAGTGATTTGTATTCAGGTGTCCTGACTCCTAGTCTAATATAATATATATTAATTCTTAATTTCCCACTCTACAAATCATGCTGACACAGCTTCCTTTCCTTTATAACTACTGAAAAGGGAAATATAGAAAGGAAACTCTTCAATATTATAGGTTGAAAGATGCTTTAAATGAAACTTGACTGTGTAAAGATAACCAAAAGGAATAGTAAGAATTTAAAATTATAAATATTACTTCAAATAAGTTTATAAATGCTAAAAATAAGCTCTTAAAATTAAAATTAGATATTACACTTATAGGCTATGATGATGACATACTTGCTGGCTATGTCTGACATAATGATTTCCATCTTCCTAGGAAAACACTGATAAAAGCCACAAAAGCATGAAAAACTACAGTTACCAAAAAGTAATTTGCCAAGTATCAGCAGAAAAGTCACTTTATTGAATAGATGGCCTCACTCTGAAAATTCACTGTTAGGAATTGAAGAAAAGCCACATAAAAATTAAACTTGCTTAGAGGTCTTTAAGAATATTACCTGAATTATATTATTTCCAAGATTTCTATTTTCTAAAATATCAATAATTATATCCTAGGAAAATTCATCCACAGGGAGAAAGTAGAAACATTGCAGCACCAAACTAACAAGCCATAGTTGTGTAGCGGGTAAGATGTTCTCCAGCCAGTTTCTTGTTTTCTGTCTCTCACTCTCATTAATATTAATTTTATATGCTTTCTTCCTAGAGGCCTACTAAAGAAAAAACTCTCCTTTGGGTTAAATTTAGAATCAATACAATTTTTAATCAAGTGAACAAAATATAGAAGATGATTATCTTTATTATTACATAATAAAAAATACATCTCCTAGATGTCAGCCTAGTTTTGGCAAAACCCACCTGCTTACTCACCCTTGTAAGAAAGAACGGATGTGAGTTATAAACAATATCGGGTTTGTCTAGCTTACACAACCTAAGGGAAAAGAGTCCTATTAAAACCACAACAAACCAAAGCAAAACAAACAAAACACCTACTTGCAAGGGCAGGTAACACTGGTTCTTAGTATAAAACTCTTAAACTTCCTTTAAACCTAAGGAACTTTGGTAGGGGGTGAAAGAACGTAATAAAAGCTAATTTAATACCAAAGTAAACAAGATAATTTAGAAATCTCATTTTAAATTCTCTTTCATTTTCATTTATCTTCATAAAACTTCTTATAGTGACAAAATCCCACTACTTTAATTTATCCCTAGAAAAAAAATACCAAAATATTCAAAGTTCATTAGAATTTATGGATTCCCATATTTGGACGCCGCTTTGCTCACATCATTAGCTGTCCACTGATGGATGGTGGCTTTGACAAATATGGTAGCTCTTACCAGCCCTTCACTTGGTTTGATGTTTGCCAGCTGAATCACTTCTAGGTGTGCAGACTGTGAAACCAGAGGATCCGATGACAGGGATATGATGTGGTCACAGACTCCAGAAAGAGTTTTACACTGAAAGAAAAAAATTACGGTAAACACATGTTGTTTATAACATATGAATCACTTTTTGTTTTAACTTTCTTACAAGGAAAAATAAAAGAAATAGTAGAAGTAGTTAACATTTTAGTCTATAAAATCTGCATAAGAAAGGTATTCAGGTGAAAAAACACACACACACACAACATAATTCTAAATTATGGATATAGGAGCTAAATATCGAAGTATTCAAGAAAGTTATGGGTTTGTTTCTATTACTTTATTATTTGATTCGTCAGACGTAAAATCAAATGATTGTTTCTAAACAAGCTTAATAATCTGAGAAATTCTTGATAATAACCATTGGATTGAACTGAACTCAAAAATTTCCGAAACACCGATGATCATGATCCAAAAAGTTTAAAAAAAATCCAGTCAACGACCAGGAAGATGAATCTTCCAAATCTGCTCAGTGAACTCCTCCCACTTATTTGTCTAGACTTTACTGCTCAAGGTTACCTTAGTATAAAGTTTCCTACCTCCTCCAGGCAAAGTTCGCCACTTCCTCAATACTGGTTTCTCAGCATTCTGTGAAGTCTGAAATTGTCTAATTTCATTCTGAAGCCCTCTGGAGGCAGGAACCACGTCCTACTCATCTCTGACTTCTCTTCTTCCCCTCCCCCTACCAACCACCCACAGCAGGTAGAGAGATCCTACAACATATAAGGTACTCAATAAATATGAGCTGAATAAACTGAAGAGCAAATGAGCTTTAACACTTATTAGAGCACCTGGATTGAGGACAGAAAGCCAGTACTTTAGGTTAGGATAAATCCATTCATGCTGCTTATAGAATAAATTTAAAATGTTACATCCATAATGATATGGTCAAGAGTTAGACATGGTAAAATCATGAAGAAAGTGGAACATAAGTGACTGAAGCTTGGAGTATACTCCCCTCAAATATGCTGGCCCTTAGATGCTTCAGACTCTCACTGTACTTACTGAAACCTGGTGTCCATCATTTGGTTTATTATTTATTATTGTTATTATTATTTTACCTTTATTGTGGGAAGAGCCATTATTTTGCAGCAATCAAGGTGTGTTCTTCTATCCATTTCCAAGATGTCACATTTGTTCTGGGACCACTGCATTGCTCTATTAATAAGGGAGACAGTTCTCTCTGCCTGGTCAAGATAATAAGGACTCTCTTTTTATTTGCTGCATTCTGTACATGGCCCATGGCCTCTCAGTCTGTGCTGGGTTCAGCTTCCTCACACCAAACAAACTGCAAAGCTAAATTTCTCTCGTAATTGCACTCTTTTTTGCATCTGCTTCTCAAGGCTGCACTTTTATTGTAGCCATCAACCTCCAGAGCCAGACATCAGCCGGCAAGATACCAATACCCATGGAAAGAACGTGGGCTTGATATGAAGACAGATGTGGGCAATCACCACACTGCTAGTTACTTGCTGTGTAACTGTCAGCAAGTTATTTTATACACTTGAGGCTCAATTTCCTCTGGTAGAAAATGGGGTAATAAAAATTGCTGTATATGGTTTATATGACAAATCAGGTTAATGTATAAAAAAAGAGCCTAATATGGCTCCTATCCAAAGAACACACTAAATAAAAGCTTATTTTTCCCCGGTTGCTTTCTCTACCCTCAAAGAGCTTAATCCTTACTCATGGGATGAATTATCTCATTACTCTTCATTACATGGCTTTGTTGACCATGTTACAATGACCAGTAACCATACTGCATGGTCATGATGGGACAGTTCACATTTCTTTACTCTCTCTGATGTTCAAATCTTAGTGCTCACATATAATGAAAGTATTTACCCTGAAGAGCTGCTAAGCATAGTGCCAAGAGGAAGACCACCTCCCAGAACTTGGGAATCCTACAGGGCCAGATGTGGGCACGTGCCCTGTGCAGTTGCACAAGGGCCTGCGCTTAGTATTATGCTCTGCTCTTACGGTCTTGGGATTCTCCACTGTTTTTGAATAAGGGAGGGACTTGACGTTTTTATTTTGTACTAGGTCTCACATATTATGTAGCACATCCTGGGACCCCAGTTGTGTGTGTGTACGTGTGTGTGTGTGTGTGTGTATGCTTTAAATCCTCTTGACAATATTCATCAGCAGCCATGGGGAAAAGGACAGAATGGCAGCACTTAACATACAATAACTGGCTGATGTTTGAAAGGGAAGAGAACACTTTGGGGCAGATTTAAATCTTTTAGCTATTCCTTTCCTCTCATGTGTGGGTACATTTTCATTCTTATTTTCTCTTTATCTCAAAGGGGGAGATAATACAGTTAATTCTTAAAGAATTTTTCAATAGGATACTTGGATTGCATGATAAAGGATATATTAATCTAAATCAGTATGCCAAAAGAAATCTAATAATCTAAAGGATATATATGTTTTTATATATAAATATATATGTTTATATATATATATTAATCTAAATCAGCACGTTAAAAAGAAACCTTCATAGTTTCTACAAACTGAAATATTTCAAGAGTCCAAAGCATAAGTAAATAGGAAAGTAATGGACGTATATAAATGGCTCAATATGTGTACATTACAACATTCAGGGCCTCATAGAACACACTGGTAATGAGCAAGAGTAGCTCTTGTATTCAGGCACTGGAAGCACTTAGAAGTGGGGAAGAAGGAGGAAAGGCGGAAATACTAGACTGGAGATGTGTTTACAAAAAAGAAAATACCAATTAAATCCACCGTATTAAGTTGCAAATCATTTTCTCTGATTCCTCTTCTTGAGTAATTTTGTTTGCCAAATACTTGCTATGTGCAAGGTCTGCTGGAATACAAAAGATGAGTAAAACATTGACTTTACCAGAAAAGCCATCAGGATTTAACAGATTAAAGATCTTGAAAAAAATAATAGAAAGACTTAGAAAAGAAACTCCACTAGAACCTTGCGGCCTATTTTAGAGATAATGTACTAGAACCTTTATATTGTAGTATTTGGCACTTGACTAAGGAAGCCAATTAGAAGGGGTATAAAATGGCCTGGCTTTATATGCTAATTCTGTACTCATTACTGCATCATACATCAAGCCACTGCAGGAAACCACATTAAGAATACTAGGCAAATCTGCAACGATGTGGATGGAACTGGAGGGTGTTATGCTGAGCGAAATAAGTCAATCAGAGAAAGACATGTATCATATGACCTCACTGATATGAGGAATTCTTAATCTCAGGAAACAAACTGAGGGTTGCT